AGTGACCAGGGATCCCACTTCAAGAACGAGGTGATTGCCGAGCTCAAGCATGTGCTGGGGGCACATCATCATTTTACCACGGCCAGATGTCCGTGGGCAAACGGAACAGTCGAAAGTGCGATGAAAACTACCCTCAAGGCGTTCGTGCACTCCTGTCCGAGTGGTTGATGCAGCCAGATCAGTGGCGGCTGATTGTCCCAGTCCGACACACTCGGGGGTGTGGCACCGAGTACTGCAATGACGGGTATCCGAGCGATGTCGCCCTTGGATCGTATTCCAATTCCGGCGGCGACAAAAGTTACACGACTTGCTGTCGTGGTGAAATGATGACATGGCGGCGATGGCAACCGCCTTGGACAAGATGCATGCGACGGTGTTGGACGCTGCGACAAGAAAGCGTCAGAAAAACCGTGAAAGAAGATCGAAGAAAGAAGGTGCGGAAATGGCCCAGTTCGACGTGGACGATTTTGTGCTTTATATGGACGTGTGTTCGATTTCGCACTCAAAGCTGAGTGTTACATGGCGTGGACCAGCTCAAGTGGTCAAGACAACATCCGACTGGATTTTTGAAATCCAAAATTTGGTGACGGGGGTGGTCCGTGAAGCCCACAGCAGTCGTCTCAAGTTTTATGCCGACGACGCATTGGATGTGACCGAAGAACTGCTGCGCCACATTGTGCACAACGCCGACGGCCATGTGGTCGATCAGTTCCTCGACTGCCGCTACAACGATCGAATGGCCGCCTTCGAAGTATGTTTGCGCTGGCGCGGCCTACAAGCAATTGAAGACTCGTGGGAGCCGGCGGCCAATTTGTTGGAAGACATTCCAACTGAGTTCAAGCGCTGCGTGCGCTCAAACAAGGCCGATCCCCAAGTCAAGGCGATGGCAGCTGCGTTGGGCATGACGGAATCGTTGGGGGGGATTGTTGCGAATTTGCCATTCGCAGAACCCCTGAGCCCCTCCCAAGAAGTTATCCAAGTGTTCGATTAGGTTGGATATCCTGGGTGTGATCCTATTCGCTAGTTAGATGATTGGCTGCCCAGCAGCTGTCTGATTAGGTTAGGGTTAAGCCCCAATGACTACTTGCCACTGGGGGGAATTCACTTTGTGATTTACCTTTGGATCGGACTTCGCAAGGTCCGTCAAGTTGAGACGCAACACTAACTCTGGGCATACTACACCACATTGGCATCGGACGCACACGCAGCCGTCACATACCACGTATTGCGACCGTGAAAAGGCTGAGGAAACGAAACTCCAAGGCGTACACCAAGCCGTACTTAAACGCGTCGTTTAAGTTGAAGGAGAGCGGTTGGGCGAGTAGTCTGTGGAAGAAGCGATTGGGGACATTGTGCTGCCTCATTTTCAAGCCAAGTCGTACAAGTTCCACACGGCGGGCCGCGAAGACCGACGTCTTCGAGGACCAAGATTTGTTCAACCTAAGCGCGCCGGACAACGGGACTTATTCAACATTTTGTCCAAGTTTGTGTCGTTGGGTTGAAAGCCCCATATGTCATTCCCTGCTTCGTGTCGAGCCTAGTTCGATGTGAATGGCCCTGCGATGGCTTCGATATCACTTGTACATGCACGCTTCCCGTTTGGGTTAACGTAAACAATCAATTTAAGACGCATCTGAGGCAGGCAGGCGGCTGGGGAGAACTTCCAAAGCTCCCCGCTCATACAACATTTTTCGACCTCTGAAACTTGGGGATTGTAGCTAAAATAATGGAGAACAACCTCATATCAATTATATTGGGTTTCGAGGCATTTCAAATGACTAAATCAACAAAAACCAAACAAGTTTGACCTCATTTTAATAATCAATTTAGGACGCGTATTTTTATCTTGAATAAGGTATACCTCTTTGTATATATACTGTATTTCACCCCCCCCATTTTAATTCACCCAACCTCCGTTGTATTTCACGCCGAATTGAAATTTGGCCATTATATTTCACCCAACTTGTGTTATAATTCACCCAAACACAGGTTAATTTCACCTTTCGAAAATAAATTCACCTAACAATCATTATACTTAGAGTAAAAGCGCGCGAAGAATTTCGCGCGCTTTCACCATTTTGAATCTGATCTCGATGGAAGAGGCGATCCCTGCACCACAAACTCCAGTACATCTCTCTGTATAGAACGATCCACCTCTAACATGCCATGTAGGCACCCTGACGTGGCCCCTACAAGCGAGTTCCCCTCTCTGCCAAGATACGTGTGGTCGCAGCACACTACGCCGGACAAACCTGGAAGACCGTTGCTCGTGCAAATGGAATGAACGAGTCCATTGCAAAGGGACGGCTCATGTTAGACTCATTGAGACCAATGCAACGATATAATCTACGGAAAATACACAAAACGATCTAATATGTGGCCAGTAGACTTCCCAGCAGATGACGTAGGTGACCGATAGTCACACTTAGCGTACAGTGCTTGTGACGAAGCATTGGCCATTTTGTCGACGTTCCCACCATGCAACTTGAATTGTACAGACTGGAATTAGTTCCATACAATTGCCCAATTGTGCGGAGAGTGTATTAAGTTTTACGGTTGGGCAAAACGAATGTATTGGTTAATTCTTCCATAACTTTTCCCCCATGTATCACTTTTCAGATCTGAAGATATATACGAATATAGGAGAAATCAGTTCATCGGGTGAGGGGTTTTATAATCAATACAACGGGATAACGTTATTGAAATAGATATCGTTGTTTCAAATTTCGCTTCTTCCATACATTCTGAGCAAATTAATATACTCAGAACAGCGATATTTAAATAAAAAATAGTTCTGCACTCAGGCCAAAATTTATAATAATACGAGCGGGAGTACTGAAAGTCAAGTACTACCGTAGTGGATTTTCTCTTTGCAAGTTTTTAAAATTCGAGCTATTTTATTTTCAACACGTGCCAATCCGACCCTAGCAAATGCTTGGATTCCCCATGTCGCGAAGGCACATAAGTCTATCACCATTCATACTTAGCCTTCAAGACTAGGGATTCATCATCTTTAATTCAAGACGAAGCGATTAAGAAAAGAATGAGCTAAATCCGACCAGTATTTGAAAACGAAAGATTCGTTTTGCCCAAACGCACGGGTATGTTTAAGAGGTAACTATGGTTTTGTCACAATACCTCGGTATGTCGGGGCGGAGAATGCGGAATGGAATGCGTTGCGATACCTCTCTGAAGGTTTCGCAGCACATAATGTAGTCCGGGCCATGGTTGTACAGTATGAGTACACGCCATTGAATCGAGCATCCACATCAATAACGTCAGTGGCGCAAGTCGTCGTAGAAGTGTCTGCTTGGTGCACCGCACTCCGTCCGTGTACAAGCGGATCGCCGTAGAACACTTCAGCCGCTGAGGTGTTCGCTGAAATGCTGTGGGGTCGCTTTCATTGTCTGCTACTGTGTGCTTGTGATGCATCACAGGTCAATGGCTCTAACATGATTAGCAGCCTACTGAGTACAACAGTGTTAGCGACATTCCCCAGTTGTGCCACGACGATGGTAACCTGCCAAAATCGGACTCGAAAGCGGAAAAACGCGAAGGAAATACGGAAAATCGGACTAACCCACTGAATGTGTGTCGTTTGGTGGTAATTCTGAGGGAACCAGCTGTGGATACAGTGGTATTTTGGGTGGACGGACAATAAATGATGAGTAAAGCAGAACATTAAGGATATGATGGTGGGATAGTGTCAACCAGACAGTTGCGATGTCCAGTGTGACTTCAGAATGACCCTGCGACGTGACAAAAATGTGAGTCATCCAAACCATTTGGGCTTTTCAGCACGGAATTCGTCGAAATATTCGATATTATCCAAAAGCTGGAGCAATTCGAACAAAATGAACTACTAGTAATTGTTTGATTATGGAAAATTTTTGGATTATTTATCGCTACCACTCGACAAGTCAATAGCAGTGCTGTAGTTCCCATCGCAAGCACCACAAAGGCACGTGATGTTCCATCCTGCATCCATATAGTCAAGCGATAGTATAGTACCTCGTTCAAGTGCATGGTTGGCGACGACCATTAACCGAGGCTTGGTGTCGACATACCATGTTTGAAACCGACAGTTTGGAATGCATGAGTGGTTGATGAACCGCGAATGATTGCCCACACGTCCCGCGTCAATGTACAAATCTTCGTTCGAACCGACGCGGGCCAAATACCAATCGGTGGTACCTTGCTTAAGGCGTTTTCGGCGCAAAAAGTCCATCTTGCTCATGTACTCGCCGACGTACTCAATGATCTTGGTCTCACTTCGTACATCCACGTCAATCCGGAGACCGTGTTTGAGCAGGACATCTTCGACCACGGTTGTCTTTGGAAACCGCTTCTTCCGGATGGTTTGATTTTGGCAAAATTCCATTGAACTGCAGCGGTTTGGAGCACACTCAGTTTGCGTCATCAAGTTGTCACACAACCTGAAGGAGTTGCAAGGAAACTCGCGGGAGCAGCGACCGCAGTGAGTGTTGTGGACTCCACTTGAAAATCGTTTTCCTCTGGAGGACCGCGCAAGACGTGGTGGGAGGCTAAATCCAGGCTGACATGTCTCAATATGGGAATACAATCGGCCAAGGGTTTCGGGATCCGCCTCCACAGACTCAAATTTGATGTCGTCCCCGGAATCATCGCTCTCAGTGAGGACGATAACGTTTGCTGCGTCATGCACTTTCCGTGGGGCTTTGTCGGGCTTGGACTTCGCAGGGGGAGTTGTTGCCCCGCGTTTGAGGGGTAATGGTATTGAATGCGTCGCCGAGGCTGTAGCCACTCCAAAAATGTCCTTAAAATCGCTGTCAAATGCACCTTCGTTGGTGGTTGGTGAGGGAGGCGAAACGGCTGGATTGGCAAGTCGTGGATGGACGATGTTGTGAGGGTTGCGGGGGGCACGCGGAGCTGGTTCGTCAGTGTTGCCTGGTTGAGTGGCGGGGGCAGGTGTGTCTGGTAGTTGAGTGGTGTCGCTTCGAGCGGCGGGTCCCTTGGGGTTGGCGGGGGCTGGTGCAGCTGGTGTTTGGGTGGTTCCTCTTCGAGCGGCGGGTCCTTTGGGGTTGGCGGGAGCTACTGTAGCTGGTGTTTTGGTGGTGCCTCTTCGAGCGGCGGGTCCATTGGGGTTGGCGGGGGCTACTACAGCTGCTGTTTTGGTGGTGCCTCTTCGAGCGGCGGGTCCCTTGGGGTTGGCGGAGGCTGGTGCAACTGGTGCTTGTCGAGTGGCGTTGTCACGGGGCTGGTATTTTGTTGGGGAAGCCTTTGCTCCACGTTTACTAGAAAGTGCTTTCGGGAGCTTCATTGGGAGTGATGTCATTTTGAAGTAACCCTCGAAGTCACTGTCATACGAGTCCTCAATGGCGGCCGCCGAGGGATATGACTTTGGGGAGCCAACAGCAGCAGCGGACGAAAGTGTTCGGGTGGCAGGTTTCGATTCTTCATCAGTTTCAGTGTCTTCGGCTGAGGGACCGCCGCCTTGTTCACCCGTTTCCGTGCCGTCGAAGGCGTCGACGCCATTGGATTCACTGTCACTTACAGTGCCATTGGAGGCGGCATTCTTGGCTTGACGGCGGGCCTCGAAACGGGCAGCGACACGGCGGCACCACTTGGCAAAGTAATTGGAGTGCTTGAATTCGGGATGACTAATGTCATCCCATTCGGGCCAAATCTCACTCACCTTGTCACGCATACGTTCCAGATTGATTGGGGAACGTGCTGCGGCCATCCACGCATGCAGTTGCAGCCGTCGTGGGTCGACTGGCGTCTTGGATCGTTGGTGCAACACTGACGCTTGAGGGGCGATGTGCTTGTTGACGCGGTCTGCCGAGACTTGGTTGATTCTGTCTTGAATGGTCAACCACTTCTCAAAAGTGGACAATGGAATCTGCTGCGACCGACAGAATGCAACGAGTGTCGTGCCACCACCTTCAACAGCATTCCATGCCCGGAGCAGGTCTTGTTTTTCACCGTAAGTGCGGTGAATTGGTGCACGCGTCGGCCGAACGTAGCTCATGTCACTCCGCGTCCAACAATGCCCGTCGCGAGGGTGGCTGGCTATAGGTTATGTTAATTGACATGTTTAAAATATGTGTTGGCTATATGAACTTTCAGATATTATTTCGAACGAAGTACACCCATCACGATTGTTCACATTTTAAAAATATGTGTTGGCTATATGAACTTTCAGATATTATTTCGAACGAAGTACATCCATCACGGTCACTTTATATACCAAAAACAATGCTTTTTCTGAAAAAATATGCTATCTAGGATACTATTTCACAGATATTGATTCCGGCGGTACCGAAAAAAAGGAGGTTATCCGAAAAATTGTGGTTCTGACACATTTATCGCCACGCGTTCAGCCCGGCCATAACGTCATGCGCTTTTAGCCTTACACTTTAAACTAGTACTTTTTGCCGCTTTGACCTATGCTGCCTTCCTTATCATCGCTTCTCCAG